TGTATAGCAAATTTTAGATTTCAAATTGTAAAAGAACATGAAGTATCATGATGAAGATGAAAACAACTGATAATTTATCACTCAATGAGGCAAAGTACATAAATTTTATCACTTGATTAAGCAAAGTAAGCAAATCCATTATTATAACAAATTTTATCACTCGATTAAGAAAATTAAGCAAATATATCATTGTTATAACAAATTTTATCACTGAATTAGACAAAGTAAGGAAATTTGTCATTGTATAGCAAATTTTATCACTCAATTAGGCAAAATAAGCAAATCTGTCATTGTGTAGCAAATTATCACTGAATTAGCAAAAGTAAGCAAATCCATCATTGTATAGAAAATGAACATAAAGATATGATTATTATGAAGTTGAATATCACTCATAAATTAATACTGTATGGTATAGATTGAAAATAGCTTCAAGTCGAATTTTATCACTCAATTATAGTTATGAAAGAAAAAGGGAAGCAAATCCATTATTATAACAAATTTTATCACTCGATTAAGAAAATTAAGCAAATCTATCATTCTTATAGCAAATTTTATCACTAAATTGGGCAAAGTAAGCAAATCTATCGTTGTATATCAAATTTTATCACTGAATTAGCAAAAGTAAGTAAATCCATCATTGTATAGCAAATGAACATGAAAATGTGATTATTATGAAGTTAAATATTACTCATAAATTAATACTGTATGATACACATTGAAAATAACTTCAAGTCAAATTTTATCACTCAATTATAGTTATGAAAGAAGAAGTGAAGCAAATCCATCATTATAACAAATTTTATCACTCAATTAGAAAAATTAAACAAATCTATCATTCTTATAGAAAATTTTATCACTGAATTGGGCATAGTAAGTAAATCTGTCATTATATATCAAATTTTATCACTGAATTAGCAAAAGTAAGCAAATCTGTCATTGTATTGCAAATGAACATGAAGATGTGATTATTCTGAAGTTGAATATCACTCATAAATTAATATTGTATGATATACATTGAAAATAGCTTCAAGTCGAATTTTATCACTTAATTATAGTTATAAAAGAAGAAGGGAAAATGAGTACGACTCACGTTTGATTGGCATGTTTGTTGAAAATGAGCTAAATCAGGAGAGTAGATGTCCGAATCAGAATATAGATCGAAATGGTGGAAGATTTGCTGGGGATCTGTTTGGAATCGGTATGAAAATAGAGGTGATTTCTTTGGAAACGATGGGAGATTCACGAAAAATCTCTTCATTTGTTTCGATTTCCAAATCGAAAATTGCCTCAGAATGGTTTCCAAATCACCTCAGAATGGTTTCTAAATCAGAACCCTTGAGAAGGAGCGTGTGTGTCACGTGCACAGGGGAGAGCTCGTGATGGCTTCTTTGCTTCATGCGTGTGGTGTCATATTGAGGGGTAAAATTGAAAACTGAAATAAGGCAGGACTTGACTGGTATTAATCTATTTCCATGGGACTGGCTGGTAAGTTCCCCTTATTTCTTTACAAAAATGGTAAGGATGCTAACATGGACAATACTGGAAACCTAAAAGAGTGCTTATGTCATCCTCATCATTTTTAAATAAAATCTATTTTATATGTTATTACTGTATGACTGACATATTAAACAAAAATATATATATAAGATAAAATATGAGATGTTAAACAAAAAAACATATGAGATAAAATATGGGATATTAAACAAAAAAATATATATAGCTGGGAGAAAAGGCTGAATTGTGTTGTTGGGCTGGGCCATTCACAGGCTCTACTTAATTTGATTTGTTTATTTTTTTATTTATTATGTGTAGATCATTAAAAAATAAAAAAATAAAAAATAAAACAAATTGATATGATAATTATAATAGTACAATTTTATCACATTTGTTATACAAAAGTAGGTAACAAGTATAATTTTAAAATTATATGATTAATTTTGTTTGAAAATAAATATGATTAAATCATATATATGTGACTATCAAATTAAATTTTTTTTTTAATGAATAATCAACACACTCGATTCAAAGTTATTGGGTGATTCGAATACCAGATCTGGAAGCAATGACTCGAGATCGACTTCAATCTGACCATTGGTGAGACTATTGACAGCGGGAGTAAGGAAAGCGACAAAAAAAGAAGAGAGAGAGAGAAAGAGAGAGAGGATGAGGAGAGAGAGCAGGGTTTTGGAAAATGGAAGGTTAATGAGAGAGAAAAGAGTGTATGAATGTATATAGATTTTGGTCCTTTTGCTTCAGCATGTCGTTATGAACAAAATAATTTTGAGTTTCAACTTTTGGATACAGAAAATTCAAATTTGAACCTTTGGACTAGGAATGGCCATTTTAATCTGATCCGTAGGGGTCTGTCCATACCCACTCCAACACTTATGTGGTATAACGATTTTGGTTTAAACCCGACCCGTTTATTGTTTTGGATCTAGAATTTCCTTATCTTATTTGGTTGTTCAACTCTTTTTATCTTATTATTTGTTGGTTTTGGGAGTTTTGGTTGAGTTTGAAACAGGTTTGGAGATTAGTTTTTCGAAGTGCTGTTGTCTAGAAATTTGCATGTTCGCTCGAGCGACCATTCTTGCGCTCAAGCAGTCTTTTACAGTCTACAAAACTATTGGGAGTTTAAGTTTTTCATTTGAGCGGTCATTCTTACGCTCGAGCGCACTTTTGCAAGTCTGAACTATTGGGAGGGGTACATTGTGCGCTCGAGCAACTATTCTTGCGCTCAAGTGGTGTCTTCATTATATCTGGTCTCTCGAGCGATCTGTGCGTATATCAGTTCGAGGAAACCACTTTTTGAATCACTTTTTCACATCTCTCTCTCTAAAAACTCCAAAATCTCAGATCTTCTCTCTCTGTCTTTCTCTCTCTCTAGAAACCATCTTTAAACCTCAAATACACCTTGATCTAGTGGTTTCTCAACCTTTGTCCTTTAGAGAAAAAGATAGAGCTCACCTAGAGCTTTCCTTTGATCAGAGCAAAGTTCATTTTCGGCTTTGTCGAGTTTCAACTCTTATTCTTCTTGGTCCTTGTCTTTGAGGTAGGAATTTCTCCGCACTTTAGTATGATTTTTAACTTAGTTATTTGTCTTTTTAAAGAAATCTTGATATTGGGGATTTTTGAACAAATCTAGGGTTTTGGTTTGAAATCAAAAGAGAAGTTTTCAAATAAATTCTAGAAAATGGTTATGGAATTGTAAATGTGGTTGAGTTGTGATAAAATGATGTATTTTTATCCTTCGAATTGAATTATAAAGAAAGGGGATTTTGTAAATTGTATATATTTGATTTTTATAGAGAGAAAATGGAATTGATATTGGTTTTTATGAAATTGGAACGATGATGTTGATGTTGATGTTGGCGGAGTTGGATATAAATTATCACTCCTATCTTGAAATGTTGGAAAGTATATCCTTGTTGAAAATTATTTATCTATTTAGAGATATCTGTTTTGGGCTATCGGTGAAGGATAACTATGATTGCTGTAGAAATTGCATGAGAATTAGGTGGATTGAAACTAATTTCTCATCCATTTGCATTGAGTATTGCAACATATTTAACACATTGAAAATGTTTATTATTTTAAGAAAAATGGGTGAATACCTTGGTGAATCTGGGTAGGGAGTGTAGTTGTAGTATTAAGTTGGCCTATGTGTCCTTGGTGAAAGTCCAAAAATCTGTGCGGATAGATGTCGAGCCTTCTGGTTAGTACCGGTAAAAATAACAATTTGTAATACTTGTAGCCTACTTATAGACACATCCTAAAGATTCCCAGTGTTGTATTCATTACCCTGTTTTCTATTGTAAAGCAAATGATTTCAAGAACTGTGATATAAATTTGGCATTGCATGGTTTTGGAAAGAGATATAAAACGTTTTGGCATGAGCATTGCATATGCATTCACTTTAGAACTCTTAAAATTCATACACTATGTTAGAGTTTCTCTCTAGGCTTTGGCTTACCCGATGTGGAAAACCATTTTCAGGTAGTGATGATATGCCTCCGTCAAAGCAGTAGCTTAGGAGAACTAGGAGCCAAGAGCTTCATTTTTGTTATTGTTGTATCTATTTTTGTATAAGCCTAAGGCTTTATATGTATTGAGTTTGAACTCACTTTTGTTGTAACCAAGCACCGTCTTGGAAGTTATAACCATCAAGGCATTAATTTATCTATTTTAACTTTTATTTCATATGTTTTGTTTAGGACACATACTATAGATTCAGTGTTAGGACTTATAAATGTATAGTTGCATGTGTCATTTTTTATAACCATTGATTCATATGAATGTAAGGATATCATATTTTGAAAAGTATTGTTAATTGGTAAGTATTGTGAGATGATTTTATTGTTTTATTTTGGGGGTGTTACATGTGGGGCGGGGATGGATTATGTTTTAGTCACCCGCAACGGAGGTGGGGAGGGCGCGAATATTGCCTCCCTCTATCCAAACCCGACTCGATATAATTAATAATTAAAATAAATAATATACATGTATATATATATAAAATATAATTAGATATATGAAAAGAATACTAAAAGCACTACAACAAAACTGATTTTTTACGGCACCACATCAACAGCATATAATAAATGCACGCCGTACTTTTTCACTTTTACGACTTGATTTTTTTGCACGTCTTAAATACTTTTCCAATCACGTCATGTCTATTGCGTAGGTCGTGAATGGTAAAAACAATAATTTTTTTACGACTTGCAATGCACGTTGTAAATAATAAAACTTTCTATGACATGCATATGGCATGCCGTTAATACATTAATTATACACGATACACATACGCCAGTCGTGAAAAGTGAATATTTTTCACAACACACATAACGCCCGTCGTTAAAAGTGTTGCACTTTTTACGACACGCAATTTATGTCGTGAATAATAAAAAAAAAAAAAAAAAAAAAAAAGAAAAAGGGCGGCAAACCAAAATATTTCAGCGCCAATTACAAAAGTATATTAAAAAATAAAAAGTCAATCAAAATGCAAATGTAAAAAATTGTAGTTGTTGCTATTAAGCAAATAAGAGAGGGAGAAGAGAGAGGGTTAGAAAGGGAGACTAGGCAGCTTCTCTTCTATCTTGAACGATGCTTTCTCTTCGGTGGCAAGACTCTTTTGGCGGCGGTGGCGACGATCGACTGTTCAAAGGGGAAGGGTTTCGTTCTTCTCTTTGCTTCGACCTGGAAAAAATCTCAGTTCGATTTTTGAGGTATGTTCGGATTGACTCAATTTGTACGATTATTTGTTGTTCCCTTCATCTCTCTCTCTCTCTCTCTTATGGTTCTGCGATGGCGGAGGGGTTGGGAAGGGGTAGGTAGATTGTCGGATTTTGGAGGTAGGTAGATTCTCTAGGTTTTAATTTAAGAATTTTGCATTCAATATTTGTACTACGAATTTCAAATTTTTGATTTGAAATTTATAAAAACCTAGGGCTTGAAGGTAAGGGTTTTCTCTCTGCTTTCGAAATTTGTATTACAGATTAAAATCCTCGTAGAATAATAACCCTCCTCTATTTGTTGTTCTGTTTAGTCATTTATTGCTATGTTGTTGTATGTATTTTTGTAGCCTATCTATAAAAATAAAGCAATCTCAATTTTTCTCTTTATTGATCTGCTTATTTTATTTTATTTTATCTTGTGACCTTTGAACATTTGTGCTGGAAGCAACTTAGTTTCTCCCTTTCTGTTTTTTGTTTCAGTTTCATATCTTTGATCTTTTTTTTTTTTTTTGGGTTTATAACTTCATCACTGCAATTGATTGATAGACTTGATGATGACAAAATAAAGGAGGAGATCTATGTGCAGGTTTGTTCAATGATTTGGCTCTCTATAGTCATATGTCTGTATCTCTCTCTGTTTTCTTTCGGTTTCATATATTCGATTTCCAGATTTTTTTTTTAGTTATTTCTTTTGGCTTTGTCTTCGGCACTTTAGTCAAGTCATAGAGACGATGATGACGGAATTAAAGAGATCTATACACAAGTTTTGGTTCAAACCCAAATTATAAACATTCATGTCTATCATAGTTGATGTTGTTTCGTTCATCGATTCATAGATAAATCCAGCAAAATCCAAGGTTCTGACTGAGATTTTTGTCTGTCCATATCTTTTCTTTACATACATGGTATGCTTCATCACTTTTCTTTCCAATTTTGTGATCCAATCAAATCTGATTTTATAATTTTGTTTATTCAATCAGATCTGATTCTTTGTTGTTTGTTGAGAAACTATACTATTTGTAAAACATTTTTTTTACTAGAGCTCCTCTCCCCACTCCAACCGCCAATGAGGGCAGCCCTCATGTCCCCATGCCATTTTGATGGGGTTTCTGGAAGGTGCTGAGTAAATAGATTATAGTTTGCGAAGAATGTTTTGTTTTGTATTTTTATTATGTTTGTAGTTCTATATATCAATGCAAGCGGGAAAATCTCCATGATTTGTTAAGAATTACTAGAAGTAAATAATCTTTGTAAAATATCCAAAATTAAGGATGGATTGGATTAATCTTTCTATGAATGAAGTTGGCTATGTACCTTGATATCGATTCTCTGTGTGTGTTGTACATGGGGACTTTGGAACATGTTAATCTATGCAAGTTTGATTTGATAAAGAAATTTTTGGTTTGACACTAATATGATATTCTGAGCAATGGAAACTTCCTTCTCTTTGTGATCTTCAATTTTAGTTTTATACTTGGTTGTTTCCATTTCACGGTATTTTCTCCACAACATTTATGGCCTCTTCATGTTACCTTGGTTGCTGTACTGGCTATTTTGTGGATTAGAATTAGATTACCATGTTTGGGAATATATGTATATATTCTGTACAGAAACTCTAGTGCCCTTAAATTAAGGCCAAGTTTGGCATCCTTAAAATAATCCATCTTTTTATCTTTTTATTTTTTTTCATCACATCACCCCTCTACTTTTCTGCACATCTTTTCGTAAAAAGACAAAAAGTGCACTTATTTAGCTCATCTCAAACAACCCCTTGGAAATGTGTACATAACATAAAAGGATATTGTGTTTTGTTTACCAAAAATTCAAAATAAGAAGGAAAAAACTTGCTATTCAAGAACCTATTTTTGTAAATATCATTTTTTGTTTAATTTTGTTCTTGAAAATCTTATTTATCTGAATATATGGTTTGCCAATCATGTCTATTTTTGTCATGGAATATGTAATCTTGTAAAATGGGCCAAGTTGGCATTCCTTAAATTGATGCTGTTTTATGTTCTTTTTTTTTTTTTTTGGCAAACTAGATATCACTAGATGAGCTATTTTTTCTTCCTCCCTGTTTTTTCAATTTTCTTTCGACTCTAGCAACATTCAATTGGAGAAGAAAGTATGCCAATTTCTATAAGCCAATGAAAATCCATTAGAAATTCTTACTCTCTATTTCAATCAATGTGTGTTGTCTTAGTCCCTTAATACTAAATTCTTACTCTGCTACAAGTTACAATCTCAATTGCTGATCTTGGTGGCACAAAAATTGATTTGAAAATTGCTAGTAATGATATTTATATGTCATTGTTGCTGAGTTGCCTTATATGCTTACATAATTTGAATAATTTCCAAATAGAAGCTCTGTTTTTGGGGCTTGCTGATAGCCCTTTAAAGGGCTTGAATAATTTGGATACATGCTGCTGATTGTGATTTTGAGCAAGTCTCCATGACCATGAGTGCTTTTTGTATTAGTAACTGACCGTAGAACATTTAGGTTTACAATCCATTTCAAATTTATCCATGTGGATTCACTACCTTGTTAAACTAAGTGATTCACAATTTTGAAATTGTAGATAGAAAAACTGTTTAAAGCATTTAAAAAAGTTTAGTTTTTGTGTAACTCCCTGTTGGATTTTAATATTGTGGTGTGTCTCTCTGCTACCCCCCAAAAAGTCTTAAGCCTTTTCTCATTTAATTAAGTACTTAAATAAAATTTTCTCATTTAATTAAGTACTTAAATAAAAAAAAATTAAAAACCCATTAAACTATTGTCATTTCTTTTTTTCCATTTTTTTTTCCTGGTTTTTGTTTTTGGGTTGGAGGGGTTTGGAGGTAGTAGTTCTTTTTCATGGATTTGATTTGGTTGTTTTGTTATTTTCTGATCTTCCTCTCTTTCTTTTCAATCATTTTCTTTTTCTTTCTTTTTGTCTAGCTACTTTATTTTCCTTTCGTATCACCTCCCTTAATATCTTTTTCATGAGTAATTTTTTTTTATACCATTGTCTCTTTCTTTTTTGTTCTTGTTCTTTTCAGTTTTTGGTTCATAGGATGTATTTCTTTCTTGGTCCATCATACAACCAAAGTGCACATGACAAAAGAATTACAACCAGTCTGTATAGTCTGATCTATAGCACCAATTTGGCAGCTGACATTTCATCTTTTTTTGTATATTTTTTGGGCTACAAATGTTTTCTCTGACTTTCTATTTATTTGTTCAGTTCACTGGTGAAACTGTAGGGGAAGTGAAAGCTGTAGTAGATATGCATCAAAGGAAAGCAGATATGGCTAAGCATTCTGATGTTTTTATTGCCTTACCTGGTTAGTATAAAGCCCTGCAAAAAGTTCTCATTTTTTTTCTCACTAAAATTCTAAGGCAAATCAACTCAATCTAAAAGGCCTTCAGGTGCTTTTCTTTTTCTAGTTCTACCATCAAAGATTGGACCTATCTCTCTCTTTGTTTTGTTTTTCCTTGCTGACATTTCTGTTATTGTAATCATTTGCTTCATGGTTCAAACACAAATACAAGTAATGGAGTAATATGCTAATCAAATTGACTTGTATAGTTTTGTATTTGTACCTGTTAATCAACGAAACTGAGGTATAGCTGACACATGGGGATACTCCTTACAAATTCCCTCATAACCCCAAAACACACACACCTTCAATTATTCTGCAGTCTTCTAGACAATTAAAATTTTATTCTTTTATTATTATTATTATTATTGTTGTTGTTGTTGTTATGTGAAAGATAAAAATAAGTAAACTGGAATTTGTGCACCGACTGCTAACGGGGTGGTGCATTTCTGCTTCTTGGTTGTTTTGATCCATTCAATAAGAAAGCAGTTTGAGCTAGCCGAGGAGCCTCCTTTCAGCTTCCTATAGTTTCTGGAACTTGGACTCATCTAGAAGCTCTCAGAAATAAATTCCATTTGAAGATTTTGGCTGGTCATCCTGAGAGTAATGAACAATCGAAGCCAGTGTCTAGGCTTTCTCAAGGGCTTGCAGATTCTTTAGCAAATTTGCCACTGTGCTTGGTCCTGGGTGGCGAAGGGAATGGCCTTTCAGCAAAAACTAGGCAGGTATGTGAGCTTGTAAGCATTCCAATGGCAGGATAATTTGAGTCTCTTAATGTTTCTGTTGCTGGTGGAATTTTCTTGCTTATGCTGCAGCCTAAGAACCATAGATTTGCCTGAATCTTTCCATGAATTGTCATGCCAGTTTTAGTTCTAATTCTCTTGCTTCTGGAACCAATCGTTAGGGTAGATTGAGAGAGGTAGAACATAACTGAGTTTCAGTTGTCAGTACAAGGGCCTGCGTGCGTGCACACACAAACACCCCTCTAACCTCAAGTATTTTAGTAATTGTATTGTTGCTGACATGAGATGTTGCTGAGAACTCATGTGAAAAGAAGTTTTGTTTGAAAGCTACCAGAAATTATAACCACAGCTTATGTGTTGGCCATCTTTTCATCAATTTTGCTTTTACTTTTTGGTTATATTTTCTACTTTCAAGGATTCATATTGACAAGTTTGGTAGTCCCTGATATATTCTCGAGTTCGGATTTTATGTTTTTTGATATCAATTACAATGGTTCAATGTGATTTTGTTGTTCAATTACTTGAGATCAATTTTTTTTTTCTCCCTATGAATGGGTATCCACACTACCAAATATTTGCATCGAATGGCTGAAAATAACTTAGATTCCAAATCAATAGTTATTTTCTTTTCTTTTTTTTTTTGGGTACATCGGAAAGGAATCAATAGTTATTTTCTGACTTTCAAATCGAAAACTTCAGTTACAACAGAAACTATGTGAGACCGATAGGGTGAAATAAAAGCATGTCATGAGCCTAAGGGAAAATGGTTAGAGTTTTGCTAGATGTAGATAAAGCGGGCTATTGAAGTGGGTGGGAGGATGTAACAACAATGCATCCTTCGTAACGTGATTTATAATTTTGCTAACTTATTCTTGCAGTGGGAAAGGTATTGCACTATGCTCAAATTCAATCTCAAAATTCAGTTCCTACCTGGAATTCATTTCTATGTTATGGCATCTAGCATAGGTAACTCTTGTATTGGGCCCAATGGAATAGCAAGAGCTAATGTAGAGAGAACATCAAATCTCACCAACTAATGTCTCTAGCATATTTAATTCAGCCTCTCATGTTTGCCTGTAATCCATGGACTCTCTATTGCAACAATGAGAAATCGAAGTGTTTGTTCAACAATGTCTCTATGCATAATGTGGTATTAGTTAATTATTAACACACCATTTTGGTATTTAAATTATGTATCTAAAGCTACTAGGGATATAAAATCTATTACAAGTTTGAGCTGTCGGATAATGAATTTCATATTGAGTTACAATTATGGGTTATTTGTCTTGGACAAATTGACACGTCTCCTATCCATATCTGTCATTGCTTGGCATAATCAGTCTAATTAGAAAAAGAAAATTTTTTCCTTGTAGAGAACCTAACGTTTAACATTGATGTATTGAGAAGTTGTCATTATTCTTGTTTTTGGATTATGTTCATGAATTCAATCCTCGGTGTTGGCTATGTCAGCTGTGTAGGAGTAAAGTTATTCTTATTATAAATAGCAGTTGCAATATGCATATCAAACTTGTGTGCTACCTTAAATTTTCAATTGTTCAGGTTCTTATGGTGCCACAATGCCACTTCTGCTATTTCAAGTCACTGCAGACGCTTTGATGTAGTTGAAGAAGTTGAAGTAATAAAGCTGCAGGGAAATAAGGCCATGCCTCTATTAATTACCAGATTGAGTTCTATAAAAAGGAGGGTTTAACACCATACTTCCTATAACTAGTGGTAGGTGCATGATTTACAAGTCTCTGTTTTTTGCATATTTTTCTATCTCGAAAATTGAGTTTTCACTTCATGTCTGACTTTCTGCAGATGTTCTTGAAGGCTGTGTGATTATAAAGAAACACATTCCCATCACAAATTTGTTCACCTGTCTGTGGTTTAATGAAGTCGATCGTTTTACTTCTGAGGATCAGTTGAGCTTCTCCACTGTACAGGACAGAATAATGGCCGAAGTTAACTGGAGTGTCGATATGTTTATGGATTGTGAAAGGCGAAATTTCGTGATTCAGGTAGTAATTTATTTATTACTATATATGTGTGTTTGTCTGTGTTCTCTTCAATATAATAGATTCATACATATAATATGTTGAAAGTGTAATTTCACTGCTTTTGTCAACTTATATGGCTTTCCATAGTAAAGGCCATCATATGTTCATAACAAACTTGATAGGCTGATAAAACAATCATTTCAATTGATGATAGACTAACAGCTTGAATATACTAACAGCTTCACAGCATGTTGATTGGTTTGGAACCTTTGAATCCTAACTGCTCATTTTCTTATCTTCTCTTTGATTTCTATGTTCCTTTCATGCGGCGTCAACAAGTTGGTTTTCTCTTCCTCTCTCATTCTCTTCTTATCTTCTCTCCTTCTCTAAGGTATGATTTTTCTTCACTGTTTTAAAGTTCTTATTTGTCATTAAATTTCTTTCTTCGTATAAAAACTGATTTGGAATTTGTGATGAAAAAATATGTTGGCTAATGTTTGTAAAAAATCATGTGCTTTTAGATTGAATATCATAAACCCCAAAAAATATGTTGGCTATTGTTTGTAAAAAAATATGAATTTTTCTAATTTTTCATTATGATATTGCTTTTATGGGGCCATTGAATCATCTTATTAATTTTGGAAATATTTTGTTGATGTTTTAAAATTTCTTGATCATTTCTTAATACCTCAAGAAATAATTGTCACTGAGTCGTCGGTTTTTGTATTTCTGTGAAGTTTCCTTTGTCATGCAGACAAGAAATGCAACAGGGTTAGTTGCTCTAGCTATTGTCGCGGGTTTATGTGCCTTAACACATACATTGGGTATCCTCGTCGTTGTGATAGGAGCAAGTGGATTTCCTACAGCTACAACTGCTATAGAAATTATTGTCGGTAGTTTTAGATAATCTCTTAATAGTTGTCGATATATTTAGAAAGTTAGATATGCATAGTTTTGGATGGTTTAAACTTTTTGTACAGTTTAGAACTTAAGGATATAGTTTTCGAATGTTTGGAATGTATAGACAATTGTTGAATGTTTATAATTTATGGATATAGTTTCATTTTGATGTTTTAAACAATATTTTGGTGGTTGATTGATGTTTTGTGATACTTGTTTGTAATATTTGTTAGATTGTACAAAATTGGTCAAATAGAACTTGTTGAATTTATATAAATTAAAAAAAAAAAATTGCATATTCTATGGCAGGCATAATAAGTCGTATTACATATTTTACGGCGCGCAATTAGCGTTATTATTTGTCTCACCAATTAACTGCGTGCAAAAGTAGTTGTAGAAAAAGTAATAACGACGCACAAAATCTGCTGTTAAATAATTTTTAACGGTGTATTATAGCATGTCATAGAAAAAGTAACGACGACATACAAAATTTGTCGTTAAATAGTTTTTAACAGCGTACGAAGTATGTCGTTGAAAGTGAATGACTTTCCATGACTGGTCATAATATGACGCGTGTTGCACGTCGTAGAAGGGTTTTTACAGCGTGTATTGTAGGTCGTAAAAACATTTTTGTGTTGTAGTGAAGTCTGTAATTCTGTTTAAATATAAATAAATAATAATTCTAAAAGTCTTACTATTTATATATATATGAAAATTGGGGAATGCCAAACCCGTCCCAAACTCATCCCGTGCCATCCCTACTTTGGACTAAAATCCCTTTTAATTATTAAACAATGTAAACAAATAACTCAAAACAATATTGGATTGGTTGGTAACCTGACCGTGATCACTATTCCCACACACACGTGGCGGGTGATGATTGGAGAAGGAAAAAAAGAAAAATGAAAATGAAAAACTAGCCAATCATGTTGAGAGGGAGTCAAAGGGGGTGGGGGGAAAGGGGGTCTGGAACATTATTGGGAAAAAAAGAAGAAGCTTATAATCCACTCCCAAGAACAATATCTTGAGTATGAATCCACTTCTCAAATGTTTGATTGAAGTTGCATTAACATACAAATATAAAAAAAAAAAAAAATCATAAATAATAGATTTCAGATTATTTTATAGGTAAAATGATTATTTCTTTCAAAATAATCTAATCGTTGCTATTTTAATTTTGAGTTATGCTATATTGACCAAATTTTTGTAACAAATTTGTTTATCATTTAACTCATCATCGCTACATTGATGCAACAGACCTCACCTCTCATGCATTGTAATTATAGATGTATGACATGATATTGATCGGATTGGTTTGATTTTAGAGTAAATTAGGAATCAAACTGTTTTTTAAGGTTTCAAAAAAATTAAAACTATAACTGAACCGTTAACTTGTGATGACTTTTCATGACTGGTCATAATATGACGTGTGTTGCACGTCGTAAAAGGGTTTTTACGGCGTGTATTCCACGTCGTAAAAACATTTTTTTGTTGTAGTGAAGTCTGTAATTCTGTTTAAATATAAATAAATAATAATTCTAAAAGTCTCATTATTTTTATATATATGAAAATCGGGGAATGCCAAACCCGTCCCAAACTCACCCCGTGCCATCCCTACTTTGGACCAAAATACCTTTTAATTATTAAACAATGTAAATAAATAACTCAAAAACAATATTGGATTGGTTGGTAACTTGACCGTGATGTAATTATTTCTTCGCCTTTTATTAATAAAATTTATCTTTGCTAATAAAAAAAAGAGTTATGATTGAGACTCCCTTCAATCACCACCCCCACCACTTCCACACACACGTGGCGGGTGGTGATTGGAGGAGAAGGAAAAAAAGAAAAATAAAAATGAAAAACTAGCCAATCATGTTGAGAGGGGGTCAAAGGGAGTGGGGAGAAAGGGGGTCTAGAACATTATTGGAAAAAAAAAATGGCTTATAATTCACTCCCAAGAACAATATCTTGAGTATGAATCCACTTTCAAATGTTTGATTCAAGTTGCATTAACATACAAATATAAAAAAAAAACTCATAAATAATAGATTTCAGATTATTTTATAGGTAAAATGATTATTTCTTTCAAAATAATCTAATCGTTGCTATTTTAATTTTGAGTTATGCTATATTGACCAAATTTTTGTAACAAATTTGTTTATCATTTAACTCATCATCGCTACATTGATGCAACGGATCTCACCTCTCATGCATTGTAATTATAGATGTATGACATGATATTGATCGGATTGGTTTGATTTTAGAGTAAATTAGGAATCAAACTGTTTTATAAGGTTTCAAAAAAATTGAAACTATAACTGAACCGTTAACTTGTGAAATCGGAACCGAACCATTAATTTGTAGAATTGGATCGGAACCGAACCATAAAAACTAGTTTGGTTTCTGTTCAAGAAATTTTATAGAACAATAAATATATAGGTGTTTTGTGTTAGTAGACAAATTAATAATAATTAATTTGGTTAAATTAGTTAGAATTTATAAATTTCACATTGATGATTAGTGTTCAAATCTTATAAGAAGCATTTTATATTATATTTTTTTATATGAAATTGAAAATAATAATAAAATAAATACGTCATGGTCGGGTCTGGTTTGAAATCGTAACCAAAGCCTTGGAATCTAAAACTAGACTGATTTGAATGGTTCTATCATTTTAAGAACTAGAAGAAGAACCGTAACTAAAAAAATCAGACTAAATTGGTGATTTAAACAGAATTGGATCGGTTTACCAATTTCACCAATTTTTTTAAACATTCCTATGACATTGGTAATTCTATTTATACACATTAATTTTTCTCAGTACATACGCTGAATGAACCCATTCTTAATATACACATTATAAAAATATAAATTCTCAGTACACATTTCTATATTCTAATATTATCCTTATTTTCAATTTTAAAACCCTAAGGTTATGTTTGGTTTCAATGTTTGAATCAATTTTTTGAAATTTTTCTAAGAAAATTATAAATTAATTTGACTAAAATAAATATCAAAAAAAGGCGATGGGAGGGGATGATGGATGAGAGAGGTGGCGCTGGCGATAGAAAATGGTTTTGATATTTTAGGATTAGGATTTGGATAGAAAAAGATGAGGATATTATAGTATTTTTATTCTAAGATAAAATTATATTGATGAAAATTTTTACTAGATGTATGAACTGAGAAGAATTAATGTGTGAAAATAGAATTAGTCCTATGACATTAGGTGTCGTGTTAAATGGTAAGGAAACTTTTTAAAAAAAATTCCCCATTTTGATGGAAAGAGAGAACAGGGGAAATAAGAGAAAGGGGATAAGAAGAGGGGAGGTTATCCTCATGATTGGTTTTAATTCAAATATTTTATCATAACAATTTGTTCCTAAGCCAATGATTTATTTATTTATTATTATTATCAAGAGACCTCCATATATTGCACATCTAATTATAAATTGGCTGATCAATAACATAGGACTACAATAAAATTTCCCCTCAACTATGGTGTTGTGGTTTTGTTGTTTTACTCAGGTCTCGTTGTGGCCTTGATCATCGCAATTGATTAGCTAAAGAGGTTTGTGCCAAATTAGTTAAAATAAAAACTTTCGTTTCAACCTGTTTGGTTTTTGAATTTTGAATTTTGAATTTTGAATTTTGAATTTTAAATTCCTATTCTTTTTTCTTTTTTAGTGAAGTTTTTAAATATTGTAATCATTTTTTTATTCTTTAGATTCACTTAATTTAAAAACACTTAAAAAGTACAAAATTTGTATTTTTTTTTAAAGTTCACTAAATGCTAAAAATTAAAAAATTAAAATTCAGTATATTTTTATATTCTTTTGCATTTATTGAATTTTTTAAAGATTTTGAAAAATCTAAAAAACCCTTTGAGATATTGATTTGTAATCGTGATTCAATTTTAAATAATAAATAGCAATCATAATCAAACAATAAAAAGAAGAAAAAGGGGAGGGGAGGATCTACAAAAAAAGATTAAGGAGCATTTATAAATTTTTAGAAGAGATCGAAATTTTTTTTCAAACATAAGGTAAATATATAGTCTGTGTTTGGTATGGAGTTCTAATCATGACTCCACACTCATATTTGAGTGTGGTGTTTGGATACAACTTTAAAAAATTAATTCCACACCCACTTTTGAAAACTCGTTCCAGTCGGGGTTTTGAATTTTAAAATTTGGCCTATCCGGTTGTCCAGCTGATTGACCGGAACAGTGCTATTTTTTTTTTTGGCAATTGGCACCTGATATTTTTTATATTTTAAATAAAAAATGCTTTCAGAATTTTTTTAAATTTTTTTATGACCTTTAATTAGAATTTTGGGTTGTGTGTTTGGTTATGAGTTGCAAGTTTTTGAATCAAATATCACATGTCACATCAAAAATTTCAAACTCAATTCAAAACTCTTTTTAAAACTCATAACCAAATAAATTTTCCACACTCAAATCATAATTTCAAAACTTACAAACTCAAAATACAACTCTATTCTTAAATCATAATTTTAAAACTCCTTGAGAATTTGGACGGGTTCAATCCTAAAAATAACAAACATCGCATTATACTAAACAGAGTCACGAAGACCGCTCAAGCGGTGTGACTAAAGGCGGTGCTCACGTATAAGTCAACCGCTCGAGCGCAACATCTACTATTCTAGCAGTAAAACATATTTTCCAGAAGTTCGGAATACAAACAGAGATATTTGATGAACCACTTCACCGCTTGAGCGCACAAAAGACCGCTCGAGCGGTTAATCAACTTTAACTTCTTTCTTGGCTTCTGAGGCACTGCCCCTCGACCCTCGCCTGGACACTGCCTCGGATCTGCCAACTCGATCCTTGTACTTAGTTAGCGAAGTGACAAACATGAATGCTCAAGTCAAGATACGAAATGTCAGCACAAACTCTTCTGTACAGGTACAACTCGGATTAGATTTGCATCTAAACTCTCATAATTCACAGGTACAATAGAGCGAATAAGTGAAAGGAGTTTGTCCAACAGGATTGCCAATAACCAAGACCTAACAAATTTATTCTCAAAAATTTTACTTTTTAAGTAAATTCATATTAGATGCATTTTAAAAAAGTTTAAAAA